CAATTGCATGGGCAGGATAATGCGTACATTTCTTACCAAGCATTGCAGCCTCCTCCTTTGTTTACCCTTCCCATCCCTTCCCAGCCTCCCCCCTCCCCCCATCCCAATCCTTTTCATATAATTTGACTTTTTTATTCTTTGTGTTATAGTGTTTGTTCTCCACACATTTTAAGATAGCTAATATCTTTCTTAGTTCATCATCTATGTCAAAATGAACATAAATTTAAAGAAATAATTGATAAATATTTTGTGTAGGGGTCTTTTTAGCCACTAAAGAATATGTTTAAAAGACTGTCATACTGGCAAAATACCGAAATATGACATAAATGAATCTCTAAGTAGAGTGCTGTCAGGAAGCTAAGAGCAATTGCTCTTAATATTAAGTAAAGAAGAAAAACAGCAAAGATTTTGTTTATATGAATCCTCAGGATAGATTATGTACTTGCCAACTACTCTGTTACTGTCATGTAATATACAAAACATGGCCTATCATTTTAAGGTTCTCAAGCTACTTGAAACTTGCTTTTGTATACGTTAGGGCTGCACAATGCTATGCTCTTGGTATCTGTGTCCTCACAAAGTCTGCAGGGTGATAGTACATAGTGGGGAGCTTTGGGGAAGTGAATGAGATTAGATAAGAGAACTTATGGTTAACCCCTCTACTACACAAGCAAGAAGGCTCCATCCATGAAGAAAATGCCCTTTACAACAAACTTTACTTCCTTAGAAGTGGAATAATCTGGAAAAACCAAAGGCAAGCTGCAGAAAAATCCCTCTTCAAAAACAGAGCTAATAAGCCATGTAGGGTGGTTCATGCCTGTAATTCCAGACTGAGATAGGAAATCATGAGTTTGAAGTCTGTAGACTTTATCTCAAAAAGCAAAACAAAGCAAAAACAAAAACAGAGCTATCTTCCAGGTGTAGAGTACTGACTCTTCATTTAGAATTTTGAGTTTATTTTGGTAATTGCTACAAATAGTTCTATAGAAAGGGCATATATTTTACTAAAAGACATGAGAGAAAGTAAACTTGGAAGAATTTTTACTGCTTGAATATTACATGATATGATAACCTAGAAACCTATGTTTTTCCAAATATTAAGATGTTATACATCTTCTCCCTTCATACATATAAATCATTTTGCAATGACTGCTGGAACCACTACTAACTTCAATTTCAAATAATGACAGGCATTATAGGCATTAGATATTGATCATTAAATTTTCTGCTAATTTTATTATTATATATGTAGTATTTCTTGAAATTTGAGAAACATACAATTCTATTTTAAATTTGTTCTTAAAAATATACAATATTTCACTTTAATTCTTGGCAGTTTAATTAAAGAATATCTCAGTACAAAAGTCATACAAGAAACTACAATTTTTATTTTGCTTTATAATAAACAAAAAGTCTTATGTAAAAGCAGAACTTACAGTAGTGCCAAACAATCCAAATATTTACAATGTAGACATTAATATCTTATCTCCAAAAGGAAGATTCAGTGTATTGGATATAAATATTTATTGAAACTAAATTCATTCTTCTGAACGATTTCTTTTATATTGGTCCTGGGGCTTGAAGGCTAGCATTTTACCACTTCAGCTAGTGTTTTTTGTTTTGGTAATTAATTGGACACAACAGTCCCATAGACTTTCTAGCCGGGCAGGATTTGAACTGCAATAATCAGATCTCAGCCTCCTGAATAGTGAGGATTAAAGACATGAACACTGGCTGCTTGGTCATTCTTCTGTACATTGTTAAGCCAAATGGTAATGATGAGGAATACTTTTGTGATTTCTTTCTCCAAAAAAAACTACAGAGGAAGTTTTTTCTTAGAGCTTCTAAACTGGGTTACTATAATCTCATAGTACTGTTTCCTACATGACTTGAAAAACAGCTGCTTTAAGAATTAGAATTCCAAATGCAGCAATCTTAATTTTTTTTGGTAGCTATAAACTGTATGTTATGATTTTAAGGTCAGTTTCCTTTACTTTTTCTAAGACATTCAAAAATATAGGGGGCAACAGAAAACTTGCTTAGCACAGATGAGGCCTTGGTTTGATCTCCAGTACTACCCAAAATAAGGAAATGATATTCAATATACATCTTCTAACTTGTTCTAACTTCTGTTATAGTGTTGTAAAATTACACACATTTACATTTACCCAGATTTCTTATTTTACTTTTTAATTGCCAATTAAGAAAATATCTGGAATGCTCCATTTTTTAAAAATTAGAAGACAGTTTCAAAACAGCTATTTGCAAAAGAAAATATCAAGATCTAACCTACATAACAGTGTACTAAACATTTAAGAGACCAAAAAGAATGTAAATAGAATATATTTGTTGTATACACAAATGACAGAGACATTCAATTTTTGCACTAACTTAAAAAATTCTAGCAGTACTTTATTTCTCTTCAGATCTTTGAGAATTCTTAAAATTTCTAAGCATTAAAAATTTTCTTTTCTTCTAGAAGATATACAATTTGAAGTGGCATTTCAAAACTGATTTCCTTTTGTTACTTCTTATATTATCTGAGAAATGAATGCTTATTTTATGTTAAGTAATAGCCAGCCTATTAATTATGCTCTTACATTTAAATTCTACCAAGACCTAATTATTTCCAACAGTGATTTACTATGAACAGATATGGTATCCTCTTAAAACTACCATGTGCCCATTGCATAGTGCTGATATCATACAAGTCATAGTAGAGTTACAAATGTATTAATTGTAGATTGCTAAAAAAAAAGTCAATCTTGGGTGTGTTAGTGTAAACTGCAGGGGGGAAAACAGTCAATAGCAAAACATTTTCTTTAAAAATAGGTTAATGTTAAGAATAGCTTTTAAACTTTGTTTAAAAATAAGCTTAATAAACAAGAATATAAATTCTAATTCAAAACAGCTACTTGAGATGCCTTATTGTCTTGCATACAGCAGAAAATACATTTTCATCATTTTCAACACTACATGTAAAAATGAGGCACTGTTGAACATATTTGAATATATTCACACAAACAGAGGCGTCTCACTCCCATCTGCAGATTTGTATTTTTTAACAGTTTCTGGGTGGCTGACTGTTCACAAAAATAAGTCCTCTGAAGGAGGAGCATAAGAGAAACCAAGGAATGCATCATCTGCCTCCAGGACACTGGCATTCACTATAGAATAGTCAGAAGACACACATACAGAATATGGAACAGTTTCCTCCGTAAATACTGTGTCAAAGTTCCTGATATCATCTGGTCCAGCCTAAAACATCAAGAACATAGAATTAATCATTGCAGATTTTCTTTCATTAATTTAGTTTTTTGTTAAATCCTCCTTCTAACGTCACATATTCTTTTCCAAGCTTCTAAATACTTTCTACCTTCATTTTCCTGTTTCATGCAGACTGGCAGTTTGCTTTCCCTACAACAAACTCTTTCTTGTCTGAACCATGTGGCAGTCTCCTTTTGCCAGACCTTACTCTTTCCTGATTGGTTAGTATTTAGGTAACATTATCCATCCTAACAGTTAAGGTTCTTGTTGTTGGTTGGGGAGAGGTAAGAGTAGAGAGTCTTAGGAGAAAAGCAGAGTCCTCACCTATGCTACTTTGAATTTGAGACTGTAACTTATCTTGTCTCTACCTACCACAGCTTACCACCTCTAACATGCAAAAATAAAGATCTAGTAGGCTTTCACAGTAGTATTTTACTGTTATATGTGTGTGCATGTGCATGTGCACACACATGCACCAGTACTAAGACAGACTTGAACTCTGGTCTGATCTGTCCCTTAACTTTCCCATTCAATGCCGGTGCTCTACCACTTGTGTCATAGCTCCACTTCTGGCTCTTTGGTGGTTGACTGGAGATAAGAGTCTTATGGACTTTCCTGTCCTAGCTTTGATCTTCATGTCTTAGCCCTCTGAATAGCTAGGATTCTATATAGGTGTGAGTTACTGGTACCTGGCTTTTTTTTTTTTTTGCCAGTCCTGGGGCTTGAACTCTGCCTAGGTACTGTCCCTGAGCACCTTTTGCTCAAGGCTAGTGCTCTCCCACTTGAGCCACAGTCCCATTTCCAGCTTTTTCTATAATTAATTGGAGATAAGGGTCTCATGGACTTTTCTTTGCCAGGCTGGCTTCAACCCCCGATTCTCGGATCTCAGCCTCCTGAGTAGCTAGGATTACAGATGTGAGCTACCAGTGCCTGGCTCATCTTTTACCTTTAGCTTCCATAAAAACCTGCCGGAGTCTTTCCATTTCCTTACGAATGGGGCAATGTCATTCTTTCTGAAGGAGGCATAGAATTTTGTTGTGCATATATACCACATTTTCTCGATCCATTCATCTACTGAGGGGCATTTGGGTTGATTCCTTATCTTAGCTATGGCAAATATCGCTGCAATGAATATAGTTGTACTGGTAGCTTTTTTTTTTTTTTTTTGGGTCCGGTCGTGAGGCTTGAACTCTGGGCCTGGGTGCTGTCCCTCAGCTCTTCAGCTCAAGGCTAGCGCTCTACCACTTGAGCCACAGCGCCACTTCCAGCTTTTTTCTTTTTGCTTATGTGGTGCTGAGGAATGGAACCCAGGGCCTCAGGCATGCAAGGCAAGCGCTCTACCACTGAGCCACCTTCCCAGCCCCAATGTACTGGTAGCTTTAATGTGGCCTTGTTTGTGTTCACTTGGGTAAATGCTCAGGAGTAGGAGTGCTGGGTCATAGGAAAGCTCTATGTGGAGTCTTGAGGAACCGCCATAGTGCTTTCCAGAGTGGCTGAACAAGTTTACATTCCCACCAACAGTGTAGTAGCATTCCCTTCTGGCCACATCCCCACCAGCATCTGTTACTATTTGTTTTCCAAAACGATGACACAAGTGGAAAAATCCCACAGCTAACCTTCATGTGATGGGCCACAGCCAAAACTCAGATGTTTTGAAATGTTAATATAAAGTTACCTTCAGACTGTGTAAATTAGGCTTTATGAGACATAATGGAACTTTGAGTCTAGACTTTAATTTTGTCCACGTGACCATCTATCGTGTGCATGCTGACACAGTATTCCAAATTAAAAAAAAAAAGATCTGAAATCCAATTCAGATTTCAGGTAAAGTAGGCTAGCCTCTAGAAATTAAAACAGAAATTATATCCAAAAGAGTGAATATTTTTTCAAGTGATCACTTCTGGACTACCATAAATAAGTCAGTCTACAAATACTATTATATGTATAGGTATAAATATCACACCTATTATTAGTATGAGCTAGGAGCTATATACAGAAACTAACCTTTAGTGAAACTTAAGTAGACTAAATAATATTGCTTTCCTGAATAAGAGAAAGTAATTTCCTCTCCCTGTTCTAACTTAAAAAAATATTAAAAAAATTTTTCAGCAACATAAATTTTCCTATGTGTATATGTATGTGTGATCATCGTGGGGCTTGAACTCAGAGCCTGGGCACTATCCCTAAGCTATTTTTGCTCAAGGCTAGTGCTCTACCATTTGAGCCACAGGTCTATTTCTGACTTTTTGGTGGTTAACTGGAGAGAAGAGTCTCATGGACTTTTCTTCTCATGGCTGGCTTTGAATCCCAGTTCTCAGATCACAGCCTCCTGAGTACCTAGGATTACAGACATGAGTCACTGGTACCTGGCTTAACTTTTTCATATATTCATTTAACACTTTTAAGATTGTCTAAGTCTTCTGCTCATATTTGTTACAATTAATATAAATAAGAAAGGAATGGGGCTGGGAAGGTGGCTCAGTAGTAGAGCGCTTGCCTTGCATGCATGAGGTCCCCCCCCCCAAAAAAAAAGAAAGGAAATATAAAGCATAAGAAACATAGGAATAATGGCTTTGGAATCACATATAAATTTCCATCTTTGGATTTGTTATTTTTCATTATATGATATGTCTAAACTTAATTTCCTTTAAAGCAAATGTTCTAGTAACAATGTTAATGGTTAAGTTGATAATCTATTTGAGGAGTAAATTACATACTATGCCCAAATACAAAATGAGTATGTCTATTCAAAGGATACTATCTGTAGTTACTGTTATTGCCCCAATGATCATTAACAATTTCTCAATTTTGTTTTTGTTTTGTGAGCCCTTCCTGGGGATTAAACTCAGGACCGGGGCACTTGAGCTTCTTTTGCTCAAGGCTAACTCTACCACTGAACCATAGCTCTACTTCTAGCTTTTTGATAGTTTATTGGTGATAAAGAGTTTCATGGACTTTCTTGCTTTGGCTGGCTTTGAGCCTCAATCAGATTTCAGCTTCCTGAGTAGCTAGGATTACAGGCATCAGCCACTAACACCCAGCACTTGAAATTTTTATTTCAGTTTTTTTTTCACTGCTGGGAATAGAAACCAGGGCCTTGAGCGTCTAGGCAATGCTCTCCCACTCACTACTCTGCTTCAGACCATCCTGACGTTTATTAGTTGTACTTCACAACCTGAGTGAAGACTTCACAAACAGGTACTGAAGCCATTTCCTTAAGGTTAGGTTTTGAGACCTTTCTAGGTTTTGCTCTTCTAGAAAGATTTGAGTATATACTTACTACATTAGGATTAAATGGTGGTGGAATCTTCTTTTGTACAAGGTCAGTCCAGCTGAGTGACTCAAAAAAAGGATGATTCTGAATTTCCAGCTAGAACAGCAAAAAAAATTTTTTTTAAATAGTGATGAATATACTAATCATAGAAGAATTTTGGGAGTCAAAACCATTACAATTTTGCCCCTCAATAATTCTTTTTTTTTTTTTTTGGGTGCAGTCGTGGGGCCTGAACTCTGGGCCTGGGCGCTGTCCCTCAGCTCTTCAGCTCAAGGCTAGCGCTCTACCACTTGAGCCACAGCACCACTTCTGCTTTTTTCGTTTTACTTATGTGGTGCTGAGGAATGGAACCCAGGGCCTCATGCATGCAAGGCAAGCGCTCTACCACTGAGCCACCTTCCCAGCCCTCAGTAATTCTTTTATGTAAATGTTTACATCATGTATGTAGGAAATAATGAGACCATCAGAACAGACCTTTGAAGGACAGCTATTCAAAATAACATAAACTAGTTTCCTCATGTAAAATGGATTGTCTGTCCTAAATAACTTGGTGTTTTAAAGACCGACATGTTTCTTTTCATCACATTATGTGACATGACTGAGCTTACATTTTCTCATTTGTAGAAGAAACATACCAAATAAGAGTATTAACAGTTGTAAGCTGAGAGCTCATTTGAGAATATTATGTATTATAGCCATATACAAATTGTAATACAAATTGTATACAAAGGAAACTATCAATAGTTACTAAAAATATAGAAATAAAAATACAGAATAAAGTATATGGACAAAGAATTCTTACCTGAGGACAAAATACAAGGAAGCTGGCAGAGAGCTCTAGACATTGATACAGAAGTAAATTAAAGTGATATACACCACTCTGGGAGGATACTATCACAAAAGACACAGTACTGATTCTAGATGTTTTCTTATAAGGTGCTATGGGCATGTACAAAGTAAGTTATAGCAGAGTTTGGATACAAGTCTGCCTTTTTAAAAAAAGGCTTCTTAAAAAAAATGATGTCTGAAACTGGGAGAGTGTGAGGGAAGGGTGGCACTGTCCAAAAAGAAATATACTCATTACCTGACTTATGTAACTGTACTCCTTTGTACATCCTTTATAATAACAATAAAAAATTTTAAATGTCTGACTAGAGGTATGAAAGTTATGTAAGAACTAGCTAGACAACATGATAAAGAAAGGCTGAGCGCTTGTGGCTCACATCTGTAATCCTAGTTACTCAGAATGCTGAGTTCTGATGACTGTGGTCCAAAACCAGCCTGGGCCAGGCACCTGTGGTACACGCCTGTAATCCTAGCTACTCAGGAGGCTGAGATCTGAGGATCATGGTTCAAAGCCAGCATGGGTAGGAAAGTCCATGAGACTCTTATCTTCAATAAACCACTAGAACACCGGAAGTGTTGCTGTGTCTCAAGCGGTAGAGCAAGAGCGCAAGAGCTCTTGCCTAGAGCTTGCCTAGAGCTGAAGAGTGCAGGGACAGCGCCCAGGCCTAGAGTTCAAGCCCCACGACCAACAAACAAACAAACAAACAAAAAAACCTAGCTTGTGCAGGAATGTCTATGAGATTCTTACCTCCAATTACCCACTATAAAGCCAGAATTGGAACTGTGGCTCAAGTGATAAGAGTGCTAGCCTTGAGCAAAAAGCTCAGTGACAGTGCTTAGGCATTGAGTTCAAGCCTCAGGGCCAGCACTAAGAAAAAAAATAATAAAAGGAGATGGTTCTATGAAGAAAAGAAAGGCCCTGAAATGGAAAATTTGGTCTAGAAAATGAGAGTCAGGGCCAGTATGGTGGTACACATCTGTAATCCCAGCACTGAGGTGAGGTGGGAAGATTACAACTGGGGTTGTCAGCCTGGGCTGACTTCAATTGTATATAGAATATTAATATGAAGGGCTGGGAAGGTGGCTCAGTGGTAGAGCGCTTGCCTTGCATGCTCGAGGCCCTGGGTTCGATTCCTCAGCACCACATAAGCAAAAAGAAAAAAGCCGTAAGTGGCTCTGTGGCTCAAGTGATAGAGCGCTAGCCTTGAGCTGAAGAGCTGAGGGACAGTGCCCAGGCCCAGAGTTCAGGCCCACGACTGGACCAAAAAAAAAAATATTAATATGAAAAAAGATTTAGGTGGCACATGCAACAGGACAGTACTGTCAAAAATGGAAGAAGAAAGAAATTAGGAATATCTGTCAGATTTTTAACCAAAATAACCAGATGAACAGTGATATTTTTAATAGCAGGATTTCACTTCCTGAGCATGTGAATGAGTAATCTCAAAAGTCTAAAGCAGGGCATGGTAGTACAAGTCTATAATACCAGCCATGTGGGATGTAGAGGTAAGAGGTTCATGCCTTGAAGATGGCCCAGGGCAAAAGTTCAATATCCTGCCTGAAAAATAAACCAAAACAAAAAGGGATGAAGGTGTGGCTCAAACACCAGTACTGCAAAAAAAAAAAAAAAGAAAAAGAAGAAGCCTAAATGGTAGTGTTAAGTGTGCAAATACTAAGTCTAGAGACAGCATGGAGTTGGGCTGGATTCAGTCTGATGGTTCTATTTTCCCTATAAAACAGACACAAGATCATCTGTTACAAAAGAAGGGAAATTAAATATTTCAAAAGCCTAAAAAAACATATATTTACTTATCTTTTGTGTGTGGATGGTACTGGAGAGTGAGCCAAGTCTTACGCATGCTCACCACGTCCTCTGCTTCTGAGCTACACTTTCAGGCCAAAATTTCTCTTAGAAATACAGGTAATCTAAAGTGCCTGAGTTGTTAGTTTTCCATTGGAGCAGTACTCACTCGGTACTGTGATTAATGTAACTTTTCTCATCAAAAGCTCTGGCGATCTTATATGTCTTTGGAAATAATAAGAATCAACTGTGGAATCTTTAAGATCTGATTTTCAGGAAAGGGAGTAAGGAGTCATTACCAATGATGAAAAAAGCTGAGCACCCATGTTAATTAAATCTTATAAAAACAGAAGGTAAAACTCAGGAATTTGGAAGTGTAGAGAGGAGCTCTGAAATAGCACAGAGTAGGAGAGTCTGAGCTGAATGGAGAAACACAGGGGTAACAGCAAAGAGTGGTCAAGTGCAGCGGAGGCTGGGACTCTGATGCTCCCTCTCCCAGTGCGCCCTGTTGTGTTACTCCCGTGGCACCTCACAGAAGCTAGGACGCATGACAGCTGCATGCATCCAGGACTGCAATTTCTGACAGTGAATTCAACCAAGGGATCAAAAGACAAGGAGGTGTAATATTAGCAAGACTGAGGGAAACAATCTGACAAAACTACCCAGTGAACCAGATAGTGGGAGGAATTTAAAAAACCAACAACATAAAAAATAGGAGCAGAAAAGTCTTGAACTCAGAGTTCAAGTCCAAGATTGAAATCCATCTCCAAGGGTTTTTTTTTTTTTTTTTTTTTTTTTTTTCTTGAGTCCGGTCCCTCAGCTCTTCAGCTCAAGGCTAGCACTCTACCACTTGAGTCCCTGGGCCACTTCCAGTTTTCTGAGTGGTTTTATTGGAGATAAGAGTCTAAAGGGACTTTCCTGCCCTGGCTGGCTTTGAACTGTGATCCTCAGATCTCAGCCTCCTGAGTAGCTAGGATTACAGGCGTGAGCCACTGGTGCTCGGCTCTCCAAGGGTTTTTAAAAAAGGAATTAAAAAATGTATGCTCCTCAACAATTTGTGAATTCACTGACATATTAACTAATGCAATACTGGTAACCACACTAGTTTTACCCTGATTTGAAACAAACTACAGATTTCATAATCATCTCAAAGAAGTGTCACCAGATTCTCAAGCAAAAGGTGATTTAATACTAGTTTAAGGCAAAAAGTATTATCTCCTGCAGACAGGAAGCACTTAAAAATCCTTGGTAACAACAATAATTTAAAGGTTTATGTATCCCTAAACCCCAAAAGCTTACCATTTGGTTAGTCTCTTGTGTTATAAGTTAATGGATATGCTGGCATTATTTAGCAATAAAACATTAAATTTCTGTCTATGGTGGCACATGCCTGAAATCCTAGCACTCTGGGAAGCTGAAGCAAGAGTAGAATGAGCTCAAGGTCAGCCTGAGTTATTCAGCAAGTTTCAGGTTAGTCTGGGCTACATAATGAACAGATTTAATGGGGTATGATGTATACTTGTAATTACAACTACTCTGGGAGGAGGAAGGAAGAAGATTGAGAGTTCCAGGATAGCCCAGAAAAAGATAGCAGGAGGACTGTCTCAACACAAAAGGACTTTAGGACATAGTTTAAGTGGTAGAGTACAAGGAACTAGGGGTTCAATCTTAGCAACTGCAAAGTATTTAAACAGCTAAAAATTATACCATATAACATTTTTAAAGGGGTGGGGAAAGGAGAATAAATTGTTTGGAATGAAAATCAAATGTGAGATAAACAAAAGGGTAAGAAAGATGAATGTGAGTACAAAGAGAAGATCAAATGAAAAATGTAAGCTCAAGTGTTTAAGATGCCATATATTTAAAATGCCATACAGTTCTTATGGGAACACCAGTGAAAACTGTGGGGACCAGTGTGCTTCTCTTCCGATTGTGTTACTCCTTAACAGCTCTTCTGTTAAACGCCACATAAAATAAGGACTTGTTTGCCAATTTTAAGTAAGCTTAAACATAGCTGAGACTGTGAAACACGTTACATACAAAGTCTTCTTTGGCGCCAAGTCGATTTTGCCTGTCTTTTTCTAGGAGTTCTTCCAGGATGGACCAGGCTGTGAGGCTCACTCCTGGCCTCAAACTCAGAGGCTTGTGAAGGATATTATCATACATTTCAGCAACATCTCGGCAATAAAAAGGAGGCTGGAAAAGAGAAAGCAAACTAAGGAAATTTAATGGTAAGTGCACAAATGGTTTTAAAAGAGTTGGACCTCAGTCTGATTGTGAGGGACTATTTATGTCTAGACAGCTGCAGCGAAGCACGGACTTGGCACATGTGGACAGGGGCATTGTGGTCTCCCGATACAGGGACTTTACAACCTAGCGCACTACAGACCTCCACAGATGCTCACAAGGTCAACTTGTTCCATAGCATCTTGCAGAGGGCTGCAAATAACTTTAAAAAGCAAGTTTTAGAGAAAAGCACCAGTTTTGTCATAGGCATTATGATAGAATCATTCGAAGAGGAGATTCAAGGCAGATCATCATTAAAAATTTCCTCATTATTAGGAATAAAGTCACTACACAGAGATTTCTAGGGGATAGAGACTACTTCTGACAATGACAGCATTATGAGCATACGCTGAAGAATTAAGATACAGCCTCAACACGAACATTCATTACTCATCTGGTCCAATTTTCTTTTACAATTCTTATTGTAAAGATGATATACAGAAAGGTTACAGTTACATAAGTCAAAGTTTGTGTGTATGTGTGTGTGTGTGCTGGTACTACGGCTTGAACTCAAGGCACCATGCTCCTGCTAAGCTCTTTAGTTCAAAACTGGTGCTCAGTGAAGGAGGGGGTGACATGTCTAAAAAGAAATGGACTCATGGCCAGATGCCAGTGGCTCATGTCTATAATCCTAGCTACTTAGGAGGCTGAGATCTGAGGATGGTAATGGAGACTCAAAGCCAGCCTGTATAGTAAAGTCCATGAGATTTATCTCCAATTAACCACCAGAAAACAGGAAGTAGAGCAGTGGTTCAAAGTGGTAGAGTGTTAGCCTTGAGTGAAAAAGATAAGAGACACCACCTAGGCTGTGAATTCAAGCCCCATGACCAGCCAAAAATAAAAGAGAAAAGAAATACACTCATTACTTGACTTATAAAACTCCTCTGGACATGACCTTTACAATAAAAATTTTAAAAATAGGAGAAAAAAACACCTGGTGCTCTACTACTTGAGCCACACCTCCACTTCCAGTCTCATGTACTTTTATGCTTGGGCTGGCTTTGAACTGTGGTCCTCAGATCTCAGTGTGTGAGTAGCTAGGATTACAGGGTGAGCACTGATGCTGGGCTCCACATTTTAAAGTAAAGGATAATTTTTAAAATTCAGAAAGTTTTATAGGACTGCTGCTTTTCCTTTTTTTTTGTATTGGAAAGAAAAATGTGTCTTAACTTTTAACATACACACTTTTTCTATATTTAAGAACCTCTAAAGAACTATAAAGGACTGTAAAATATCTAGATGACAAATACACAGCTGGAGGCCTGATTCAGACTGCAGGGTGCTTGCCAATGAACATAAAGTATCCCAGTCACAGCCTCAGACAATAGAAAAAAAAAAGATGACAAACAGTACCAAAAGAGTCTAAGGTAAGCTGGGTGCCGGTGTCTTACGTCTATAAATCTAGCTACTCAGGATGCAGAGATCTGACAATCCTGGTTCAAAGACAGTCTGGACAGGAAAGTCCGTGAGACTCTCTCTCTCTGTCTCTGTCTCTCTCTCTCTCTCCCTCTCTGTCTCTCTCGCTGGTCAGTTGTGGGGCTTAAACTCCAGGCCCGGTTGTTATCCCTCAGCTCTTCAGCTCAAGGCTAGCACTCTATCACTTTAGCCACAGTGCTACTTTGTGTTTTCTGGTGGCTTATTGGAGATAAGAATCTCACGGACTTCCCTGCCCCAGCTGGCATTGAACTGAGATCCTCAGATCTCAGCCTCTTGAGTAGCTAGGATTATAGGTGTGAGCCACTGGCACCTGGCAGTTATCTAACATTTTAAGTCACTAGTAGTGCTAGAAACAAAGCTTTGGACAAGCCTGTCATACTCAAAGGCAAAGAAGAGACAGAGATAGTTTTTCTAAGAATCTATCAAAATTACCCAGCTGTTGTGATGGTACGTGCTGGTAATCTCAGCTACTCATGAGCTGAGATCAGGAGGATCACAGTTAAACTGTTAAGGCCAGCCCAAGCAGAAATATGAGCTCTCACCTCAACAAACAAGCTGGGGAGTGGTTAATATTTGTAATTCTAACTACATAGGACATTTAAGTTAGGAGGATCATGGTCCTAGGCTAGCTCCACACAAAAAGTATGAGACCCTATTAATACAAGAACTAAAACAAAAACAGCTGGATGTGTGGCTCAAGTGGTAGAATGCCTTCCTTGCAAATGAAGTCCTCTAGTTCAAACTCCAGTACTGCTAAGCAAAATATCTATATGAAAGTAATGTACTAAAATTAAACTTTGCTGTGGTAAAAGTGAGAGATCATTTTCGGAGAAAAAGTGAAGGAAGGAGGGGCAAAGGGAGAAAGAAAGATGGGGGGGGGAGAAGAAGGGAAAGGTGAAAGGAAGAAGTATTACCACAGGCCTCAGCTTACTTGTCTTATTTAGCATTAGTGTTAGCAAAATTTTTATTTTTGTGTATTTTTCCTAATGTGGTTTTGGATTCATTTAACAAGGCTATTACTGTTCTATTAGTGTTACCTGGTTGTCTTTGAAATTCTTAAAAGAGACTACTGATTTCCTTATTGTCAACAATATATTGGAATAATGATCTCAGAACAGAAATACCTACCAATCCATACAGCATTTCATACAGAACAGCACCAAGGCACCACCAATCTACAGTGTTGTCATAGGGCTGTTTTCTGATTACTTCAGGTGCAAGATACTGTTGAAAGGAGTGGAAACAGTACAATAATTCAGTAAAAATCAAGACAAAATTTAGGAATAATTAAGAAATTTAACCAATTTTGGGTATCATTACACTAAAAACATGGGTTGTGTCTTCTTGCTCTATAGCAGTGGTTCTTAAGCAGTGTCAATGGAGCACTTCATATACTCAGGCTCTTCAGACATGGATGCAGTTTACATACACACATACATATACATACACCTATACACACACACAGCAAATGGAGGGTCCATAAAGCTGAATAAAGTAAGTATTCTGGGGGAAAGTCTTTCATCAGATTAGTTTATTTTTATGCCGATCTTAGGACTTGAACTCAGGCCCTCTCCCTGAGCTTTGTACTCAAAGCTAGTGCTCTATCACTTTGAGCCACAGCTCCACTTTTGGGTTTTGATAATTATTTGGAGATATCAGTCCGATGGACTGTCTGCCCAGACTGGCTTTGAACCATCATCCTCAGATCCCAGCCTGAGTAGCTGGGATTACAGGTGTAAGTCACCAGCATCCGGCCAAGTTAGTGTATTTAATAAATGCATCTGGTTACTATTTGTAATAATTTCCCCTTGCAAAAAGAATTCTTTTTTTAGTTTTTGAAGGAGGGTCTCACTATATGTCCAGGCTAGCTTTGAGCCAAAGCTGTCCTCCTGTTCTAGCCTGGCACCACCATGCCCAGATTAAAAATATTTTTAAAAATTTTTTTTAAATAGTTTTTTTTTTGTGTGCTGCAGAGTCCTTACTATGTAGCCTAGGCTTGTCTTGAACTCAAAAAATATCTGCCTCAGCCATTAAAGTACTTGGATTAGAGTTGTGCATCACTATGCCCAGCTAACACAGAATTATTATTTTTTGTGGGGGGAGGGTGCAGAGGTCTTGAACTCAAGAGTTTGGCTGCTGTCTCTGACCTTTTGTTCTAGGTTAGCTCTACCACTCAAGCTATACCTCCACTTCTGTTTGTTTTTTGTTTAATTTTATTGTTTTTGGTCTTTAATTGTAAGAGTCTCTTCTGGCATGGGTTGGCTTTGAACCATGATCTTCAGATCTCAGCCTTCTAAGTAGCTAAAGCCACACCTAGGTAAGATAAAATTCTTACTATGGCAATATTTTTCTTTTCAGTTAAAAAAGACTAAATTGCATTCATATCCAAGAATTACAATAACAATTATCAAGTACTTTGTAAACTTGTACAAATTGTTACATCTTAATATAAAAAATTTACAAATTCATGGACTGAAGGTGGCTCAGTGGTAGAGTGCTTGCCTTGCATGCCTGAGGCCCTGGGTTTGATTCCTCAGCACCACATAAGCAAAAAAGAAAAAAGCCGGAAGTGATGCTGTGGTTCAAGTGGTAGAGCACTAGCCTTGAGCTGAAGAGCTGAGGGACAGCGCCCAGGCCCAGAGTTCAGGCCCCACAACCGGACCCCACAAAAAAAAATACAAATTCACTAAGACACAATGAAAAGTCTGAATTTTATATTTTAATATAAATGTGACTTCTTCCTATATCAAATGCATATAAGGAAATAATTCTCTATGATGCTTTCATGTGATCCAAAAATGGTAACAAAAATAAAATGGGTTTAATCATTTTTGATCATTGGGGCTGGGAAGGTGGCTCGTGGTAGAGTGCTTGCCTTGTATGCATGAAGCCCTGGGTTCAATTCCTCAGCACCACATAAGCAGAAAAAGCCAGAAGTGGTACTGTGCTAGCCTTGAACTGAAGAGCTGAGGAACAGCGCCCAGGCTCCAGAGTTCAAGCCCCAAGAAAGACAAAAACAAACAAACAAACAAAAAAACAAAGAAAAGAAACATAAGTTGGTTTTTTTTGTTTGTTTTGTGATCACAGCACTACTTCCAGTTTTTTCTGTTTATGTGGTGCTGAGGAATTGAACATAGGACCTCATGCATGCGAGGCAAGCACTCTACCACTGAACTACCTTCCCAGTCCACTTATGTTTTTCTAAAAATTATAGGATTTAAGATAGATTTTGTTAACTATGAAATCACTGTACATCCACAAGAAATGTTACTTCACAACAAACAAAAATAGAAGGGTTACAAATAGAGACAAGAGCTGGGTCTAGCTTAGAGAGGGAGAAAAGAGAAAAAAGTACATTTTAAGGTAAATGATTATTACTATAATACTTTTAATTTAATGACATTTTCTCTTTACTTCCTTTTTTATGTTGCTAGGGATTAAATACAAGTTACATTTTCAACATTACATTTACAATTACTTCAAAGTCATGATGAAATGTTACATAGCACCTAGAATAACAAAATGAGGATAGTATGAAATGAACTGCATTTGTGTGTAAAGTGAGAATAAACTTTTAGAAAAATCTTGCAATTATTAGTTAACATATTTCATTGTAATACATTTCCATATGTGTACAGAAAATACAAATTTGAAATAAATTACAATTATTAATGTAAAAATTAAAAAAAAACTGGGCATGGGGCTCAATCCTGTAATCCTGGCTACTTGGGAGGAAGCTATAAAAGAATCATAATTCACAAGGCTCCATCTCAACCAATGGTTATGAGAGGAAGAGTATGCCTGTCTTCTCCAACAGTAGGATCTCAGATCAGGCCATGGGAGGCATACAACAAGACCCTATCTCAAAAATAACCAGTGCACAATGGGGCTGGAAAAGGGCTCCAGTGGTAGAGTGCCTGGTTACCAAGTATAAGTTCTTGAGTTAAATACATACATACATGCATACATATATTCATACACATTTTCTCCTCACTAATGTGACTAGGGAATAAGATCTCTTGCCTAATAAATTCTGATTTATGATTTTCACATACACAGCTTTATTTCTTTCAATAATTATTAAAGTAGACCCAACCATATAGAAAAAATAGAAATGTGTATCAGAAATCAAATTGCCACAATTGTAGGCAATTTTAATATTTTTGCCATATTTGCTTTAGCTCATTTAAAAAGACAGCTTTATTAAGAAATTCACATGCCATATAATTCACCCTTTTAAAGTGTATAGTTCTATATCTATTAGCATATCACAGTGTCGTGCAGCCATCAGCACAATTGATTTTAGGACACTTTCATGAAAAGTGATTTAAAGGATTATCACAATAATAAAATTCTTGAAGAACTTATAGTAAACTCTGCCTTAGACATTAAAAGAAATAAGCATAACTTATCTTTCCTGTTTAAAACAGTCTTATGAGAAACAGTAATAAATAGTCTATGAAGACTATCAAATATTTTTAGTTGGCTGAAAGCTGAAATTACAAGTTTTGTTCTACTTTTCTTATTTTTATTTTTTTTTGTTAGTCATGGGGCCTGAACTCTGGGTCTGGGCACTGTCCCTCAGCTCTTCAGATCAAGGCTAGCACTCTACCAATTGAGCCACAGTGCCACTTCCAGTTTTCTGGTGGCTTACTGGAGGTCAGAGTCTCAGTCTTTCCTGCCTGGACTGGCTTTGAACTGTGATCCTCAGATCTCTGCCACCTGAGTAGCTAGGATTACAAGTATGAGCCACAGGTGCCTGGCTCCTATTTTAATTTTATATATGTAATAGTTCATATTTGTATTTCATAATTATGTCAAGGACAAGATATATTTCTCCTGCCCACAATTTTGGTTAGTATCAATTAATTGTGCAAAGGGTTTCATTTTGACATGTCCATATACACATATAGCATGTCTTGATCAGACTCGCTCTATTTCACTTTCCCTCATTCCTCTCCCCAAACCAACCTAAATAAGTTTCACTCTCCCTTTTTACACACATGTGTCAAGTATTTCAACCATATTCACTTTCTCTATTTAACCTCCCCACGCCCACTAGTATTCATACCCAGAGAGGGTCTGTTTTCTATTTGCATGATAAGACGTATTTCTTACCTCTGGTGTTCCACAGAAGGTTGTTGTGGTATCTGAAATAGCAATTCCTTCTTTACAAAGCCCAAAATCTGTTAAGACAACATGTCCCTGACAAATACAATCACAGTTAGATAAGACAATGCTTGGATACAAACCATTTTCTAAAGAAATTTGAAAAAAATTGGAATTATAGACACCTGGGAAACTGCAAAAATAGTACAGAGTCCCATATCACCCTACTCAGCTTCCCACAATGTGGACAGTTTTTATCACTACAGTACTGCATCAAACAGGAAACTGACAGTCTTGTCATTTCAACAAGGTGACAGAAATGCAGTCATGAAATATGGAACCTTTAAGACTTTTTTCCATCATGCACAGCAACAACAAAATAAATGAAACCCAGTAGATTTTAAAAAGACTACTTACCATTGAATCTAAAAGAATATTTTCTGGTTTCAAGTCTCTGTGAAATTAAAAAGAAGAAAAAATGCTGACTATTGCTTGAAATGAAATTTTAAAAAGATATATTTACATGTAATATTTAAGCAACCTACCTGTACACTATTTTGATGGAGTGCAAGTAACCCAGTGCACTGGCAATTTCAGCAGCATAAAACCTTGCTCTGTGTTCAGGAAAGGACCGTTCTCTTTGTAAGTGAAAAAACAGCTACAAAATTGGGGGAGGGGTTAGGATCATTCACACAGTGTTAAACAAAAATATTCTGCAAATACAAAAGTAAAAATTGTTTCGATATGTTGAATATGAGACAAAAATTCAATAAAGCATAGAGCTATGACCTTCCCATCCATGCCTCTCATCCAATATTGATTCTCCATCAATCTTTGTTTACTCTCATAAAGTTATGTCCAAAGATTCTCAGTCCCTTAATGTGGTGGAGTTCCAACTATTCTTGAAAAGATTATCAAGAAAGACTGACAATCTTAATAATGTCACGTCCTGGGACTTTCTGGACTGCTTTTTCATAAAAACAAATACTAGTGACTAGCAGGACAAATCTAATCTACAGAAATAATTTGTTTGAGATTATTTTTGGAAACTCTGAATACTAAGAATTTACTTATTTAATCTGAATCAAAGATTCTTTTTTAATTGTGGCAAAGATCAGTTGCAATATATCCTGAGGGAACTGGATTGAAATTCACCTGAACTGCTTTTTTGCCTTTACTCCCTATATCCCACAAAGAACATATTCTGCTTTGTCTACTAATTATTTCTCAAAATCTTTTTTGTCATTTTTATCTCTACCACTGATTTTTATCAGCTATGACCTACATGACTATAATGCTGACCTCCCATATACATTTTTCCAACCTACTACATACAACCCCAGTGCCACTACAATAAACAATCTAAAATGAATGTAATAATCATAAATAGCTAACAAAAATTGTTTAGTAAGTCAAAAAGCATTACAGGGCTGGGTGTGGTGGCTCATTCCTGTTATTTCAGCTATTCAGGAAGTAGAGATAGAAGAATTATGTGGGAGGAGGGGAGAGCTGGGTGTGCATGGGGGAAACATGGGTGTGGTAGCACATGTCTGTCCCAGCAACTTGGGAGGCAGAGAGGGAGGATTATAGTCCAAGGATGGCCAGGTAAAAGTGTGACATCCTTGTCACATCTGTCGCTCAATTCTGTCATCCCAGTTACTCAGAAAGGTGAGCATAGAAAGACTGAAATTTGAGTCTTGCTTGGACAAAAAGTTTGTGAGACCCTCATTTCAACCAATGAGAAACAAGGGACAATGGCATATGTCTGTCATATCAGTTACATGGGAAATATAAATACAAGGACTGTGGTCCTGGAAAGCCCAGGCAAAAAGCTAAAAATGTAAGTATTACATGTCACGGTTAAAATGTAAGTATGAATATCAGAGAAAAAAATGACAGGAATAAGGAATGAAATCACACTCCTGCTTTCTGCCTTCATTCTTTTTCCTTATCTTTATTCCTTGTCTACCAACTGCTATACTCAACACCTTTTACACATACTACCACATTCTATTATAGTTCATTCTCTCATTATCTTAGCCAAGTGTATCTTTCAGATGACAAGCCTGCCTCTTTTCTTCTTTGCTGCTCAGAACAAAAAGGGCTCAGAAGCAGTCCTAAAACAGCACGAGGTAACCAAGGAAGATTACAGTAAGATCTCATTTGCAGGTAGATGTCTCATACCTACATTTCAAAGACATCAAGGTCTTTGAATATTTACATGTGTTTCTGAACAGAGCTTTGCAGATGGATTATCTATGTGAAATGGAGCCTTACACTAGGACAGTAAGACAAAGAAAGTTAACCAATCTAAACCTCTATAAAATGGATTACAGAGGGGAGGGACAAAAATGGGTTACAAGAATAACTATCTCAAAAAGTTATGATGATTAACTGAGATTATGTATGCAAACTAACTGTGAAGTGCAGGCTCTCAATAATTTATTATCTGTTAGCATTCAGACCCACATAAAATAACCTCCAAGGTAGGAACAATGGAAGAGCATCTACATTCTTGAATCAAGATACCTCAAAAACTTGCCTCTACATAAAGTCATTTAAAAATTATTAATATTTTAAGTTAACATATACTTGTAATATGAGGGGGTTTCATTGTTCAGTTTCCACGCAAGCACACAATATACTTTGAACAAATTTACCCCTCCCATCATATTCCCATTTCTCTATTCCCTAATTTTTCAAACAGCATTGGGTGGGTTTCATTATGATACATATAGATTTTACATTTCATTTGCATACACCTACACATATATGAATTCTTCATACCTTTTCACTCTATAGTCGGCCTCTTTTCTACCCTCTTCCCACCATGCTAAGTCTTAAACAGACATCTGACATGGACTTAAGACATTTCAATGGATGCTTTTTTTCTTTTCTTTTTTTTTTTTTACTTTTACCTTTTTTTGGTCAGTTGTGGGGCTTAAACTCAGGGCTTCAGCACTGTCCTTGAGCCTCTTTGTGTTCAAGGCTAGCCCTCTACCACTTAAGTCATAGCTCCACTTCTGGTTTTTGCGTAGTTAATTGGAGATAAGAGTCTCACAGGAACTTTTCTGCCCAGCCTGGCTTTGAACCCTGATCCTCGGATCTCAGCCTCCTGAGTAACTAGGATTATAAGCACCCAGCCAATAGATGTTTTTTTTAAGATTGATATAAAATATCTAGGCATTTTTGATCATCTGTCAGATGTGCAGAAACTGGTCTTCCTCCTAGTTCTTTTATGTCACAGTTATGGGTACCACAGTAACATTGAAATTTTCTTTTTTCTTTTCTACTCTCTGAGATTAGGGGATAGGTGATTCCTTTATAAAGCTATGACAGTATCTAATAGTTAAAATAATTTTAAAAGATACAGTAAAGGATCAGACAAATTAGGAGGATTTAAAAGTTGAGGAGTAGAGCAGCTGTAGAACCTGTAACTAGACTGCCTGATGCTGGAATTCAATCCTTGACTCAATATTTAACTACATAACTTCTACAAGCCTGGGTTTGTCTTTTACAGTACCAGTGTTGTGAAGATAAAATATTAAAAAGAACTAGAATGCTTGGCACATATATAATACTTGGCACACATTAGCTATTATTGTAATTATTATAATATAGAACACTACTACCCAGAGTGTATTTCAATATTCTTCTAGATCTGTGTTTTAGAGATTATTATTAATAGATTTGACTCAAACAAAAGATGGGACTCTGTTGGGTGCTGGTGGCTCACGGCTGAAAACCTAGCTACTCAGGGGGCTGAGATCTGAGAATCACAGTTCAAAGTCAGCCCAGGCAAAAAAAGTCCTCCTAAGATTCTTAACTCCAATTAACACTTGAAAACCTGTAGTGCAGGTTCAAAGTGGTAGAGTGCTAGCCTTGAGCAAAAGAGCTCAGGTACAATACCCAGGCCCTAAGTTGAAGCCCTGCAACTAACAACAATAACAAAGATGGGACTCTGTTTTTCTTTTCTAAAAATTCATTTTCTTTTAAACAAAATTCTTTGTTCTAAGAAGATTTAAAGTCTTTGATGCTAAAACATACAGTGAATAACTAATTTGAATCATTTCCCACCTGACTTTACCACAGGAATCAATTAGGAATCATTTCATTGATTAAGGTTGTGTATTTTAGAAAATAACACACTTGAACAGGATTTATATGTGCTTGTTGAAACATTATCTAAATTGCAAATCATGTTTTATTCTAATATTTCAGTTATATCATTCTGTGTACAAGCTGTGTACAGCTTGCTAACAAACCTATCAATGAAGTCTGTAGCTTCATATCAAGGTTCTTTTGTAAATCTTGTCAACTACACCATGCCTAAGGAACAGTGTTACATTTCCCCACCTGTACATTGTACTGGGTTCCTGGAGCATTTATATAACACAAATCTGCTAGCAATGTGCTGTCACTTTAAAGCTTGTAAGAAAACCTTTATAATTTCAAGCTATTCTAACTATTATCAATATTAGGAAATCAATTATAAAACTCACCTCCCCTCCATTAACAAAATCCAGAACAAAATAAAGCTTTTCAGTTGTTTGGAAAGAATAGTGCAATCCAACCAAAAATGGATGTTTCACATTTTTCAAGAGCACGTTACGTTCTGCCATAATATGCTTTTGCTAGAAAAAATGGGAAAGACCAACTTGTATTATACACCAGAAAACAATCTGTTAATTAAAAAGGGGGTTAGTAGAAACAGTAACTATTTAATATTACCTCTTTTCTATTGAGAACTATCTTTTTCTGTAATACTTTGACAGCATAAAATTTCCCATCCAGTTTCCGTTTTGCAAGAAGAACCTGTAACAAAGATTGTGCAAATAATTACAAATTTCAAGGCTTTTTTGGGGGTCTGGTCGTGGGCCTGGGCACTGTCCCTCAGCTCTTCACCACAAGTTAGCACTCTACCACTTGAGCCACAGCGCCACTTCGGCTTTTTTGTTTTTCTGCTTATGTGGTGCTGAGGAATCGAACCCAGTGCCTCATGCATGCAAGGCAAGCGCTTTACCACTAAGCCACCTTCCCAGCCTTTCAAGGCTTTTATAGAGCTAATTCCCTTGTCAATATATATATATATATATCGTAGCAGTACAAGAATGTGAACTCTGGGCCGGTACTTGTTAAACTGGCACTTTACCAGTTGACCACATGCCCTCAGCCCAAATTCTGTTTTGTTGTTGTGGTTGTGGTTGTGGGGCCTAAACTCTAGGCCTGGGCGCTGTCCCTCAGCTCTTTAGCTCAAGGCTAGCACTCTACCACCTGAGCCATAGTACCACTTCCAGCCTTTTCTGCTTATGTGGTGCTGAGGAATTAAACCAATGGCCTCATACATGCAAGGCAAGCACTCTACCACTGAGCCACCTTCCCAGACCCCCAAATTCTTAAACTGAGAAAAAAAAAAACAAGTCTACAAAAGACCTAGATGTTTTTGTTTTGAAGGCTGAGCTCTACTCAACTTCTTTTTGAAATTCTTTTTCTTAGATATTTTAATACAGCAAAAAAGGACATAGATTTAAATAACTAGGCACTATATCTTTATAACTTAATATATTGCTAAGATTTTTACTTCATAATTTACACTGTTTGAGAACTTGGGTGTGAGCAATGAGGCCCAGAAGATGCCCTTGGAAACCCTAGATAATTAACTTGATGCTATGTAAGAAATCTTTGTATGCTTGTGTGTGTGTGTGTGTGTGTGTGTGTGTGTGTGCAAGCGTGCATGCATGTGCACCAGTCCTGGAGATTTTTTTGCTCAAAGTTAGTACTCTACCATTTGAGCTACTTCCAGATTTTTTGGTAGTTGATTGGAGAATGGAGTCTTATGGACTTTCCTTCATCAGCTGGCTTTGAACTAATATGCCCAGATCTCAGCCTCCTGAGTAGGTAGGATTACAGGAGGGAACCACTGGCGCCTGGTGGAAGTCATTTTTTGGTGATCAGAATGCGTTCCTGTTTCATGTTTAGGTTTCTCGTACAAGCTTTTTAAGTCAGAAGAGTTCAGAGAAAGAAACATCATATACAGTTGAGTTTTTATAATGGGTTGAGTTACATGCATATATATATATTTTTTTTTTCCCCTGGTACTGGGGGTGAACTCAGGACTCTGTGTTCTTCCTCAGCTTTTTTTTCCCCTCATGGTACTCTATCACTTGAGCCATGCCTCCAGCTCAACATTTTTGCTAGTTAATTTGAGTTGCGGATTTTTCCTTTTCCGCAGCCTTTTAACTATATACCTCAACCTCCTGAGTAACTACAATTATAGGCGTGAGCCACCAACACCAATACATACATACACTTTTAAAAAGAAACCTAGAGTATCTTGCCACAGAAAAAGAAAATCTGTACTTGCCAATATAGTCATGCTGTTCACAATGTGCCCACACAGCTTAGTATAAAGCGGACACCATCATGGTTTGTGTGAGTGCTCTGTGTTGTCCTCACAAGGAAGTTGCTTAAGGACACACTCATCAGAACTTTTCCCCACCATTAAGTGACCTGTGACTACAGCCATAAAGGAGTTGAGACCACTCACAGTTTTATAACTATTATACAACAGGTCCCAAAGCTTTTTGAGATGATCTGGCACACCAACTAGTGATGCTGCTAATATAGGCTTTTTAAAACCTTTGTGGCCTTTCTTACCAGAATCTATAATCTGCCTCAATAAACATGGGGAAAACATCAGACAAGCCTAATGTAGGAGTAACCTACAATATATTTGATCAGTAGTCTTCAAAACCATCAAGGTCATCAAAAATGACGTCTGAGAAACAGTCATAGTTAAGCCTAAAGAGAGACTTGACAACTAAATGTAACGTGGTATCTTGGATGGGATCTTGAACAGAAAAAGATACAAACAACTATCTGCTCAAGCTTTCAAAAAGAACAAAAAAAAGGAAGTTCTAAAAAATTTTTTTTAATTATTAAAACAATTTTTTTTTTACTTTTATCTTTGTGTGCCAGAACTAGGGCTTGACTCAGGGCCTCACACTCTCACTTGGCTTTTTTGCTCAAGACTGGTGCCTCTACCACTTAAACCACACCTCTACTTTTGGCTTTCTGCTAGTTAACTAAAAATGAAGAGTCTCAGATTTGTCTGCCTGGGCTGGCTTGGAACTGATATAAGAGCTCAGCCTCCTATGTAGCTAGGATGATAAGCATAAGTAACCAGCACCTGCTGAAAGTTCATTAATTTAAAAAAAATCCAAGTTTTTAGCCATGTGCCAGTGACTCATGCCTATAATCCTAGCTTTTCAAGTGGCTGAGATCTAAGGATTGAGCTTTGAAGCTAGCCAGAGCAGAATCCAAATTCTCAAGTCAATTTTTTGGTCAGTTGTGGGGTTCGAAGTCAGGGCCTGAGCACTGTCCCTGAGCTCTTTTGCTCAAGGCTAGCACTCTACCAATTTGAGCCACAGGACCACTTCCAAGTTTTGAGTGGTTAATTAGAGATAAGAGTCTCTCTGGGACTTTTATGCCTGTGCTGGCTTTGAATCCTGATCTTTAGATTTCTGTGCAGCTATATTATATTATAGGCATGAGCCACTGACACCCAGTTCCTCAAGACTTTTATCTCCAATTAACCAGCAAAAAGCTAGAAGCAGAGGTGTAGCTCAAGTGATACAATGAGTAAAAAAGTCAAGCTAGAGTGTGAGGCTGAGTTCAAGCCCTAGTACTATCACAAAAATAATTTTTTAAGCCTGTTACTTTATAAAGGCAGACTCAAACATCTTTAGGATGAAAACATCCTCTGCCCAACTGTACTTTTATCAGCATTTGACTCTATTGAACATTTTTTCTTAATTATTTTTTTGCTCTCTTGACAACATGGATGTGTTTGATCTTTCCCTCTCCAATACTTTTAACTCATTCATCCTTGAGGAGGGAGGGAGATAAAAGGTGAGACTGATTGGAATATATAGTAAACATGTAGAAATATAACAAAATATCCCTATGTAACTAATATAAACTAGTAAAAAAACTAATATAAACTAGTTTAAAAAAGCACAAAGACAAGCCAGGTAGTAGTGCTTCATGATTGTAATCCTAGCTAGTGAGGAGGCTGAGATGTGAGGACTGCAGTTTAAATTTAGTCTGAGCAGCAAAGTCCTTGAGACTCCTATTTCTAACCACCAAAAATCCAGAAGCAGAGCAGTGATACAGCATTAGTCTTGAGCACAAAAGCTCAGAGACAGTGCCCAAGCTCTGAGTTTAAGCCTCAGGACTGGCTCAAAAAATAAACAGAGAAACAAAAATAGATTATACAATCTAAAAAAAGATCTGTTAATGTATGGATATTGGGAAAAGTCTTCATGAATTCTACAGGATCAAGCTGGATAGTCATAGAAAAAAAATGATCTATGACCTTATCTCTCACAAAATAGACAAGAAAATATTCCAGGTAGGCTTTTGAGAAAAGTATGAAGTTTCCAAAAATAGAGCTTATGGTGTTTTTTTTTTCCTGTGTTGTTTTTAAGGAAATCTCAATCATTTCCCAGGGTGGCCTTGCAATCTTGGTCATTCTGCCCGGTAGCCCTGATAAACCTGATCTTAAGTGATTCTCCTTGACACAGCTACACTGTCAAGTTAGGTGATCTATCTGATACTCTGAGAGTAAGAAGAATTTCACATATTTCTTCCTCCCTCCAACTGTTATTTACACAGATGGTTCATTCTTCCTTCCAACCTCAGCCCATTCTCAAAGAAGCCATCCTTGACCAATACATCCAAGCAGAGTTTCCACCCCCCTGCTGCACACTCTATCTTTCACCTTATTATTCCATTACAGTCCCATTACTATTTATATTTACTTGAGTACAGATTTTGGTGGACTATTTCTTTCACTAAGTTGTTAAGTATCACAACAGCATCTAATTAGAACCCACATGGGTACTTGATACATAGGTGTTCAACAAATACTTGTTTAATAAATGAATTTTTAGAATCCTAGCCTTATGTTCTTAATTATCCTCTTCACACTTCGATAGCAGAGACTTTTCATGTCTTGCATCTGAAAAGTCCTATGAATCATATATGTAAACATACATTAATTCTTTATATACTTAAACACTGAATGAAAAATAAAAACATTCTTACCTTGCCAAAACTGCCTTTTCCAATAACTTTTAAAAAATCAAAATCAGTTGGCTTAGCACTGAAATAAATTAACAATGACAAGAATCAGCCTTCAAGAAAGTGGAAAGATGCAAGCTCTTTTGGGGGAAGGGGGTGTGAGGAGGGCTAGTACCAGGGCCTGACCTCAGGGCCTGGGTGTTGTCCCTGAGCTTTTGTGCTCAAGACTAGCACTCTAACACTAGAACTACATTGAACTACATTGAACTATCGTTCTACTTTGATATTTTGGTGGTTGAGTTTCAGGGACTTTCCTTGGCTAGCTTTGAACCAAGATCCTCCGATTTCAGCCTTCTGAGTCACTAGGATAATAGGTATGAGAAACCAGCACCCAGCAAGATGTAAGTTTATAAACATTTCCTAGCACCTCATTCTTGGTTTGTTTTTTTGGGGGGGTCCTGTCAAGGGGCCTGAACTCTGGGCCTGGGCGCTGTCCCTCAGCTCTTCAGCTCAAGGCTAGCGCTCTACCACTTGAATCACAGCACCACTTCTGGCTTTTTTTCTTTTTGCTTATGTGGTGCTGAGGAATCGAACCCAGGGACTCATGCATGCAAGGCAAGGCGTTCTACCACTGAGCCACCTTCCCAGCCCTAGCACCTCATTCTTTAATAACTGTTTGGTACAAAATACTTCACAATGGTATTGTCTTTCTTAAAAATAACAGTATGTACTTTGTGATTACCTTATAATATTAGTTAAGTCTTATTAAGTTCTGCTTAAGAAGAACTTCAATTATATTCTCTGGGAGAAAAGAATGGAGATCCATCCATCTATCTATCTATCTATCTATCTATCTATCTATCTATCTATCTATCTACCTACCTACCTACCTACCTACCTACCTACCCACCTACCTTTAAAGTTTAACTTCTCTCTAAGCCAATTTTATTAACCACAAAAGTAATCAATGCTATGAGTGAGGAAATTGAGTAACTGTATAAAGTAGTCATATATTCCAAGGACTATCAGTGTCTGTCTGGTATCCTAAAATATTTCAGGTAGAGAAAAGACTTCACTGTGCTTTTTACATAAATACTTATTTTACCCTGAAGATAAAAGATTCAGTCTCATAGGCACTAATAGAGGAGAGCTAGGTACAGAAAAGTCAGGGGAACTCTAAGCCTGTCATTTTATTTGCTTTAACCAAAGGTAGAAACAGCATTGGCTCTAAGTAAGCAAACACACAGGGCATCATAAAGTCATATGTATATAAGTAGAAGAACTGTTTTATTCAAGAAGTCTGAATTCTTAAATGACAGAGGATGACTACATTTAAATTTAAATTTTTCACTGATTATGAAAGTTAATTCATACATGATAGTAACATTAGTAAAAAATAATGACATAGAATACTAGACTACATTTAGAAGTATTTCTTCTTCAGAAAACTGCTCTTTGGACAATCTAGTTCTTCATTGAGATACTGAAATACTTTTTCAAACAAAAGCAAACATTTATATAATGTTTTGCATGAAAATTCTCCAAACTGCAAATAGAGAGAGGCCTCATTATTAATTGTAAGTAATTAATGCTAATTCAAAACAGGTTTGTTTTGGGATACTATTTTGTTCATTGCTACAAAATGACAGAAAAGACTGATCAAAAACAAACTTTCTCCTCCAGTTACCATTCCCTTACTTTCCTATAAGGTAAAACTTTCCCAGAAAGTGAGCTCAATTTGTCTGTTCTGCTGATATCTGCTCTAGTTCTCTATGAACTCTTTCATACAAGATCAAACTGTTCATGAAGTTCACCATTGACTTATTAACTCCAATGGTCGGTCTATTTTCCATTTTTTAGCTGATTTATCCTTTCAGCAACATTTACAAGAGTTGTAAATGTTCAAGATATTTCCCTTCTTATTTCAGGACATATTTCTAGTTTTTCTCCTACATTACTATTCAGTCTCCAATATTAGCTCTTCCCTGACTTCATCATGTTCAAGCGTCCTGGGACTCAATCCTTGGTTTATTTCTCCCATTTGTCTATAGTCATTTCACTGTTTAAGTAGACCAAATTGTAGAGAAAACATGATGAAAGAAAATTCTAGAGTTAATCCGTCAAGCCTATTAAGACTTATTACAAGTACCAATGACAATTCTATACTCCTGTAGTCCATGGCAGACATAACTAATCTGGGCACTTCTCAGACACAATCAAATAGCAGCCTGAGAATCCTTTGTGTTGAATACTTCAGGCATTCACTTCCAATGAATTAATATTAGAAATGAAGACTATATTTGCACCTTTGGTCTTATTCAACATTTCTCAAATTATGTTACTCAAAACATTCCCCAGGTACTCAAATAAATTGTAGATAATAAGGGAAACAAGATAAAGTGTAATGCCCTTGAATACGCTAAATGTCCATCAGGACTCCTCTGAAACAAGCTGGCTAATAATAACTAGGGCACACCACTAACACAGATTATGAGAAGGATATCAATTATGGTTGCAAGGATGCCTTTTCTTTCTTTCAAAAAAGAGCTTCTTAAAACTTAAAGGATTGTTTGAAATGAATTTAACTTACTGAGGATTTCCAGTCGGTCCAAGGTTAATATTCTGTGAGGTAGAGTGTAGCTGTTTGGATAGAGAAAAAAAAATCATTATGAAGTAAAATGTACATAATTATACCACAGATATCAAAACATTTTAAGGAAAACTAATATTCCAAATAATGAACTATATACAATAAACACAAAAGATAACATTTATTATAACTTTCAAGGGCAGTTGTAAGGAAAAGCTAAGCCAGAAATAAGGTTCAAAGTTGGCAAGTTTAAACAGAAAAAGCTTTTGGAAGAGATAGGTATTGAAGATACAATTTAAGAAGAATCAGTTTTACATTTAAAAACTGGGTGAATAATGGCAATTTTTCTAAAGTTAGAATAATGTATCAAAGACAGAAAAAGATAAAGTTAAATCTTTCGCTTTCTTCACTAAGAATCATCCTAGGCATCTGAGAAGAAAAGCTGCTACTTTCTAGTAGTCACAAAAAGAAATATATCAATTTTCTGAAGAGGTTATTAACATTCTGAGACAAAAATGTTCAACACATAAACCTATCATTTAATCACAAATTATCAGAATCATAACAAAATGAAGAGACATTAAACAGACAAATGAGACCCAGGTGCCAGTGGCTCAAGCCTGTAATCCTAGTCCCTCAGGAGGCTGAGATTTGAGCATTGTAGTTTGAAGCCAGCCCAAGAGGAAAGACCCTGTAACTCTTATCGCCAATTAAACTTTTAATTAAACTCTAATTATTATATACTATGATTTAGATTAATTACTATAATTTACCTTTCCCTATAGCTTCCTTTTATGCCTTCCTTCCTTCCCTCCCTTTTTAATAGTACTGGGGATTGAAACTACTTGCCCAACATGCTGGGCAAGTATTTACTAATAAGCCATTCCCCTAGCCCTTTTGTTAGTATTTCTTTTATTACTTCTATTCTTTATTACCTTTATTATTCAGAATGTATTATAACTGGTATTAAATATATGCAAGAAAATCAGAAGTGTTGGCTTAAAGGCATTTTGTTTTTCTGCTGGCTCTGGGATGTCAACTCAGGGCCTGGCACTGTCCCTGAACTTCTTTTGCTCAAAGCTAGCACTCTACCACCTGAGCCACAGTGCTACTTCTGGCTTTTTCTGTTTATGTGTTACTGAGGAATCAAACCCAGGGCTTCATGCATGCTAGGCAAGCATTCTACCACTAAGCCACATTCCTAGTCCTAGAATACTTTTCTAAGACAAGCTTATTTTTTACTTATTTTCTCTCACAATCTATCCTAAGACCTAAGAACAACTATTCTTTATTAGGAACACATGTATGTTCTATAATATGCAGCAGAAATTAAAAGTAAATTGATGCCAACTAAAATTCATGTATTGACTGCTCTCTCTATAAATACCTGTCAGTGCAGAGGATGAGGTAATGCTCTGGTCAAAAAGGCCTTTCCTATTGATGAAAACTCAAAATAATAGTTTCAGGTATGGTGATAATGATGAAGATACATAAGCCAAATATAAAATTGTACATATTACATAACCTAGGTAACTTAAAAAGATAGGAGTCTGGGTAGCAATAGCATGGCTAGTGAAACTAATGAAACTTTTCTTCTTACTTGCTAGTTTCTAATTTTTTTTTCTTGTCCATCCTGGGGCTTGAACTCAGGGCCTAGGCACTGTCACTGAGCTTTTAGTGCTCAACACCTTCTGGATTTTTGGTTCTTAATTGAAGAGATGAGTCTCATGGATTTTCCTGCCCGGGCTGAGTTTGAACTGTGACCCTTAGATCTCAACTTCCTTACTAACCAGAATTTATAGGCATAAGCCTGGTTCTTTTATTTAGCCTGAATAATACTTTTTATTAAAGACAGTACTAATTCTAGCCAAGTATAGTGATTATCTGAACATTTGAAAGGCTGAGGTATGAAGTTCTCAGACAAACAAACAAGAAAAAAATCCATTAATTCTTCTAAGTTCTTAAGAAACAGTGATCCATAGGTGGTATATATATTGTGTTTAGGTATTCTGAAGAGTAGAAACAGTGACCCATAGGTAGTATATACATTGTGTTTAGGTATTCCAAAGAGTAGAAAATTTACTACTTCATTTTGAGTAAATGTAATCCTAAAGTAATTAGCTTCATTTTTGTGGCCTGACTTTTTTTTCTGTTAAAAATATAATTTATTTTACTACCTTTTGAGTACTTCTTTCATCTTCATCTTCAGATGGATCTGACTGATGTTTTGGGCTGTCCATTTGAAGGAATGCTCTGACATCTGGACTAAAAAAATACAACTTTAATGTGACTTTGAAAAGATGTCTATAGATTTTTCTCCCTTTTAAAATAAGAACAAAATAGAAACCACTATATTAGCATGTATAGCTACACAAAATACATTATTATAAAAGAGAAAAGCAAATTAATTTCTTAAAATGGAGAAAGCAACAAATATAAACAGAAGTTCATTAAAGAAAATGTCAGTAAAAATTTTGCTATTTTTGGGGGGTCCTGGAAATGTCTTCTATCCTGAATGGCAGGAGGGCAGTTATGAAAAAGTACATGTGTACAAAATTATCCAAAGTCGGATATGTAAGAATTGAACAGTTTACAATTCAATGGTCATTGCAAATAATGGAATTACATAAAGTTCAATTTTAATTCCAAGAATAACATGTTTAAACTATTTCAAGGTACAGAATACTTAGTATCTACTATATTATGTTAGAGGTTCTCAGTAATATTTATTATACCATAGAAAATAATAATAACCACTCATGGTATACTTGTTCTATACCAACATCTGTCAAAGATAGAGAAAAACTCTGGGCAGAAAACCCTATCAAAAGAGGTCCGGCTTTTAATGTTAATAAATTAACTTAAAAAGCAGCCAGAGAACCTACTCAGAATGACAGAAGCAGTCAATGAACTATAAATTACTCCAAAAATGGCAATTATTATTTCTAGAAAATATAGGTCATGTACGGGTGTAGTTTGATGGTAAAGCAATTGCCAAACATGCACAAAGGTCTGGGTTCAATCATCAATAACACACACACACACACACACACACACACACACACACTTTGAATTTCTCAAAAATACAGTCATTCAGTGTTGTGATTCTGAAAAAAACTGTAAATAATGTGTTCTCACATCATAAAGCAATCTGTACATTTTACATAGACAGGTGGTCTATGAAAAAAATTTAATTTTATGTTTTAGAATATGCTTTTTACACCCAAAAGTAGTATCATATATCAATTTAAAGGCATAATGGATATCACTAATTCTCAAGTACCAAGTACCAGGTTCAAAATGGTCCACAGAGAAAAGTTTAAGGTCATTATAGCACAATTTCAACTTAAGTGGCTACATGGATGCTGTGTGGGTGGAAGCCTGTTTGGGTTCGCAGAGGACAACACTGCCCAGATTGCCCAGGAGGTATTGACATGTGCTTAAAAACTGCCAATGCTGGCTTCGTGGATGTTGTGAAACGCTTCTGCTCCAGTGACCACACTATGTTAATACTTGAGTGTCCTGATTTTGTAGCCTTTTGTATCCTCTGTTAACTTGTACCACTCCTTTTAGCTTCAATATTCTCCCTACATTTCTTGTTAAATGATTATAGAGCCTTTAAGTCCCAGGAAACTTTGCTTTACTTTCCTGAGCAAAGTTAGCTATGTTTTCTGTTACTGCCTAGTACCTCTAACAAAAATTACCTGGCTTCAATTTTTTATTTATACATCTATCTCTACTACTAGATTGGGGGCCTATGCCTCTGGAAGTTAAGGATGAAGCTCACTTAAGTTCCCAAATTCAAACAGGAGCTACTTCAGAACTTTCTTAAGGTACAAATAAGTATAATATCATATGAGTAGTAAAATGTTAACAGTATTTGCAAATTTCTTTTAAGCTTAATCTATAAAACAAATCCAAATATAAAAGGAAGAAATGATATAACCAAGATGTGTTGATTCTGAAGGGAAAGACAATAAAAAAAAATCTAAGGGAAGCTGGGCACCGGTGGCTCACGCCTGTAATCCTAGCTATTCAGGAGGCTGAGATCTGAGGATCACGGTTCAAAGCCAGCCCGGGCAGGAAAGTCCGTGAAACTTTTATCTCCAATAAACCACCAGAAAACCAGAAGTGGCACTGTAGCTTAAGTGGTAGAGCGCTAGCCTTGAGTGCTGAGGGACAGCATCCAGACCCAGACTTCAAGCACCACAACTGACCAAAAAAAAAAAAAAATCTGCAGGAAAATTTCACAAACCTACAAAAAGGGTAAATTCCCTATGAGGCTTATTCAATATTCTTAGGCTTATTTTTACTTTCCTTTAGAACACATGAAAATTACTTACTGGTTGTAAAGCTCTGGATATCTAACTAAGTTCTGGATGAATTCATTCAGTCCTGCTCTTCTTTGTTTAATAAAATCTGTAAGAGAGATATAAACTATTAGCATTACTTCTGTCAGCCTATGTAATTATTAAAACATTTACTTAAGAATATTCAATATGGTTGAACAAGTTTACACTCCTACCAACAATGCAGTAAGGTTCCCTTCTGTCAACATCCCCTGTAACATCTGTTGTTATTAGAGTTCTTGATTTTTGCCATTCTAACTGGGGTGAGGTGGTATCTAAATGTTGTTTTGATTTGCATTTCTTTTATGGCCAGAGAAACTGAGCATTTCTTCATGAGTCTATTGGCCATTCTTATTTCTTCTTCAGAGAAGTCTCTCTTTTAAGTCTTTAGCCCACTTATTAATCTGTTGTTTCTTTGAGGATTTGTTGTTGGGGGAGTTAATTTTTTGAGTTCCAGGTATATTTTAGATATGAGAACCTTGTCCGTTGTATGGCTAGTGAAGATCTTCTCCCATCCGTGGGCTTTCTATTGATCTTGTCAGCTATGTCCTTTGCCATGCAGAAGCTCTGCAGTTTCATGCAATCCCATTTGTCTAATCTTTCTTTGATTTGTTGTGTTTCTGGGTCTTTATTAAGAAAATTTCAGCCTGTGCCAAGGAGCCCTAGAGTTTCTCCTATTCCTTCTGTAATGTTTTCAGGGTATCTGCTTTTACTTCAAGGTCTTTGATCCATTTGGAGGTTACTCAAAAGACTCCACATAGAGCTCCCCTATGACCCAGCAATCCCACTTTTGGGCATTTACCCAAATGTTCACAAACAAGGCCATACTAAAGTTACCAGCACAACTATGTTTATCACAGCATGATTCTCCATAGCTAAGATATGGAACCAACCCAGATGCCCTCAGTAGATGAATGGATCAAGAAAATGTGATAGCGCGCACACACTCATACGCATGTGCACACATGCGCGTGCACGCACGCGTGCGCGCACACACACACACACACACAATGGAATTCTATGCCTCCATCAGAAAGGACATACCCCATTTGTTAGGAAATGGAAAGACTTGGAAAAAATTATAGTAAGTGAAGTAAGCCAGGCCCAAAGAAACCTAGGTCCCATTGTTTCCCTATTTGCAATAACTAGTATACATCTACGATAATCTTATGAGACAAATAGAAAAGGTCAAAAGCTATGCACATATGACCATTTAAGATGGTGCTAAGCAAAATGAACCCCAAAATAGGGAAACAAGAGGTTTTGGTTTTGTTGCTGTTGCTTTTAAAGTATTTATAATGTACTATGTGATTTCTTTTGTTTCTTTTGTATGTTCTTCCCCCATGGTATAACCCGTTTTCACTGTATTCCATTCTGGTGTCCTGCATCTTGTATATACATTTTTCTAATTTGGGGAGAGGAAGGGAAATAACAAAATGTTGAAACAAGGATGCAGGTGACCCATTGTAACAATGAGATGTATAAGACATTATGTTTAAAACAAACTTTTCAACTTCTGGGTGGGGAGGGAGGGAGTTATAGAGGTAGGGAGGGAAGGAATGGCAGGGGAAAAACAAAGGAGGAGGTAACAATGCTCTATAGGAAATGCACTCAGTACTTTACTCATGTAACTGTAACCCCTCTGTACAGTATCTTTACAATAAAAATATATTAAAAAAAGAATATTCAATATAAGATAGTAAATGGTAGTTAAGAAGCTCCCAATTTAAATATAGCAAACATGATCTGTCAAAAAATTCGCAAAAAAATCTCATTTTAGATCTAAATATCCACTTCTTTTGGCAGGGGGTGGGGGAGAGATAGAGTCTTGCTATGAAGCCTACTGCCTTTTTGTCTTAGCCTGCTGTACCTCACCTTACCTGACCAGATTCTAATTATAGACTCACTGTAAAACTTGGAGATAAATTTTGCTTTGTTTAGTTCCTCATATACCAGGCAGTGAGTAAAAATTAACACTGTGACACTGATGACTGAAAAATCATACTAAAGAGACAATTACTATTATTAGAACTCCTGTAAAACTAGGAAATGTATTATCAAAACTACTAGTATTGAAAAGCCCTTGAAAGCTAGGCATGGTAGTATACATCCATAATCCTAACTGAGGAATTGGAGGCAGGAGGATAACAAATTTGAGGCCAATGTGGTCTATATATTGAGACTGTCATAGCCTAGCATGCACAAGGTCCTAGGTTTAATTCTCAGTACTGCAAAAGTAAGTAAATAGACATATAGGCAAATTCTCCTTGGAAATGCACTGGTATACTTTCCTAACAAATAATTATCTAATAAACTGAAAGTGTTTTTGTTTTTGATAGCTGAGACACAACAACTACTAAGCAGTCCAGTTTGTTTTTGTTCTTCATGGGGCCTGAACTCTGGGCTTGGATGGAGTCCCTCAGCTCTTCAGTGCAAGGCTAGTGCTCTATAACTTGAGCCACAGTGCCACTTCTTTTTCTCCTTATGTGGTGCTGAGGAATCCAACCCAGGGCCTCCTAAGCATGCAAGGCAAGCACTCTACCACTGAGCCACCTTCCCAGCACCTAGCAGTTTATATGTGTGTGTATACATATATATGTGTGTGTATGTGTGTGTGTGTGTGTATATATATATATATATATATACACATATATATGTGTATGTATGTATGTATATATAGATATATATATAAAGTGCAAATGTTTCTTATGGTTGAAAAAGTTATTCAAATATTGTGTTTCTTGAGAGGCAGTGATCAGTGGGATTGTGATTTGAGACCAGCCTGGGCACATTCAGGAGGCTTCATCTCAGACTGTGCCTGTACAGTGGTATGTGCCTGTCATCTCTAACCACACAGGGAAACACAAATTGGGAGACTGCATCCCAGGCTGGTCTGGGCATACAAAAAGACCCTGCCTAACACAAAAGGGGCTGGAACACCTGCATGCTAAGAGTGTAGCCAAGTTTAATCCTCAGCACACACATCTCCCCTCCAAATCAAGTATCTTGGTTTTATTATTCTCTGCTTTGAGCCCTTCCATGTGATAATGTCTTTTTTTTTTCTTTTTTGTTTGTCATGGGGCTTGAATTCTGGGCCTGGGTGCTGTCCCTGAGCTCTTCAGATCAAGGCTAGCGCTCTACCACTTGAGCCACAGCACTACTTCCGGTTTTCTGGTCATTTATTGGAGATAAGAGTCTCCTGGACTTTCCTGCCTGGGCTAGCTTTGAACCACGATCCTCAGATCTCAGCCTCCTGAGTAGCTAGGATTACAGGTGTGAGCTACCAGCACCCAGCTTCCATGTAAAAATTTCTTAGTTATAAAATGAGGATCATGCTTTACATCACAATGTAGTATTGGATTACATGATATAATGAATACAAGTTCAAAAACTATCTATCAGATGGTACAAGCACAGTCATTAGCTATTGTCATTTCTGTTATTATTTGTTGTAGGGCAAAATCCCGCCCCCACCTCCATAATCTAAAACCCTGCTAGACTGACACTTCACCATTTTAGCCATGCTCCAAGCTCTTTTTGCTTTAGTTATCTGTCAGACAGAGTTGTGTGGGTTTTTTATTTTTGCCTAGATTGCCCTGGATCATGGGCCTCCTATATTGACTCCTGTATAGTTGACCAGACAGATACCACCTGTATTCCCCCCCCTTTTTTTTCTATGTAGGTTCAAGAACAATTTGAATTTGTAACTGCCACTTTCATTCTATCATCTGAGCCAAGCCTCCAACCCCACCATGTATATTTTTGTGGAGATGGAATCTTGTTTGGTCATTTTCTTTTCCTTTTCCTTTTTTGTTGTCCAGGGCCGTCTTCCTATGTATCTGAGATTACACAGGTGGATCACTATACCCAACCTCAATGAAAGCTTTCATGTACAGTTTGTCACCAAATGATGGTTATTTCCAGTCATATAGGTTTATTTTCATTTCTTGAATTTGAGGTATGGTTGTTAAAGAACAAATTAAGTCTGATCTAGATCCAGATACACTTGGTAATTTTACTGCTGTTGTTCAACTATAAATTCTTTTTAGAATTTTGGGCAGGTATCTTGTAAAACTTTCAAAGGGCATTTTTCGGGTCACCAGACAGGAAAACATGTGAGATTTACATTCTATTTCTCAAGGACTACACTTAGTAATATAGGCAGAAGAGCTAAAATGAATAATTACATTTGAATATTAAAAGAAAATTAAGGGCTGGGAAAGTGGCTCAGTGGTAGAGCACTTGCCTTGCATGCATGAGGCCCTGGGTTCAATTCCTCAGCACCACAGAAGCAGAAAAAAAAGCCAGACGTGGTGCTGTGGCTCAAGTGGTAGAGCACTCGCCTTGAGCTGAAGAGCTGAGGGACAGTGCCCAGGCCCAGAGTTCAGGCCCCATAACTGGACCCTCAAAAAAAAAGAAAAGAAAATCAAATGAGGGTACTAGTAGCTCACACCTGTAATTCTAGCTACTCAGGAGGATGAGAGCTGAGAATTGGGATTCGAAGCCAGCCTAGGCAGCAAAGTTCACAAGATTCTTATCTCCAACTGACCACCCCCTCAAAAAACTGGAATTGGAACTGTAGCTCAAGTGGTAGAATGCTAGCCTTGAGCAAAAACGCTCAGGAACAGCTCTTAGAACCAACATACACACACATACATACACACACACACACACACACTCTCTCTCTCTCTCTCTCTCTCTCTCACACACACACACACACAAACTATAGAAGCAGCTTTTAACTGCTCTGTGAATAGTTATTGAAGATACATTTTTATTTTGTTAGCAGAATCATCAAGGAATTTCCTTTTCCCTATTAGCTACAGTTTACACTACATTAAGTGCTACTAGATTTTCCATTTCTTTTCTGACTTTAAATAGTTTGTAATTCCCAGGTAACTCCAAACTTAAAATTTTAGATTAACATTAAAAATGCAAATACCTGATAAAACTTCATCTGACAAAAATGTACCTAACCTGTGACAAGAAATGCCAAGAATTTACTGAATATATATCATCTTTAAGAACTATAATTGAAGATATGTACTTTAAAATTTTTCTCCAATGAAT